TCCCCCCGCCCCCCCCCGCCCCCACCCCCCCCGCCCCCGCCAGCCGGTCCCCTCCCCCCACGATCTCTCCTGGCCAGCTCCACTGCTCCCACCCTCCCGGCCAGCCCTGCTTCTGCCAGCCGGTTCCCCCAGCCAGCCCTGCTTCCACCGGCCGGTTCCCCTCCCTGGCTCCCCTGAGCAGCTCCACTGCCCTGACCCTGCTTTCCTGCGGCCCATATCCAACCTCCTCTCCCCCCTCCACAGCCAGCAATAAGAGCTCACCTGGTAACCCTCACTATGCCTCTGCCAGAAGCCTGAAACATACGGCTGCATCTGCGCAGCCAGGCTGAGGGCTTGGGGAACCCAGCACTGCACGGGCAGTCCAGTAGCCCACAACACCCTGGCAGCCACGCTGAGGCCTGGTATTTTTTTCCCACGGCACTGTACATAGTTTGGGAAACACTGACCTTGATTATATGCTATTGTCAGAGGCTGTGTCTACACTGGCATCCCTTCCGGAAAAGGGTTTTCCCCTCCATATATGTTTTGTCAGCCTTCTTTAAAAGACTTGTTTCACTATATAAACTGGGTTCCAAAAGGAAGTCTTTTGGCAACCAATTCTAGGACATAGCTCCAAGATCAGAGCTACCAGACCTCACTCTGCCAATGACCTTGTGCAGAAACTGGAAGCCTCCAGATAGGCCTGAACTTGACTGACCATCAAGAAAAGTTCATCTGTTTTATTGGTAGTGGTGAACATTATGTGTATAAGAAGTGCATTCTGTTGTGGCAATTGTTAACAGACAGTAAGGATATTACTGTAAAGGGCTCTTTTCACCAGTTAAAGTGCCTGCAAAGGAGTAGGTCTAAGCCCTAGAAATTGGGTAAGGTACATGCCTTTCACCCAGAGCCCTATGAACTGAGAAAGGGCAGGGTGCCTAAATAATCTGGACTGTGCTTTGAGCCTTAGAAACTGGGTAAAGGTGGCTACCATTGGAGTGTATGAATAAGAATTTTGGTGTGGGTAATTGACAAGCAGTTTATAGCTGCTGCTTCTTCCCTCCATCAAGCAGAAATGGAAGGGGAAGGCAGATAGCAGATATACCATCTATCCTTCCTTGAAGGGTATCCCCAGTGAGAAACAAGGGGGCAGGTTGATGCAGACAGGTGCAATTTAAGCCTCCATGTGGCAGTTTGGGTAAGTGTAACCTGTGAAGTTAAAAATGTCTGCAATGATTCCCTTCCCTTGCCTTTTCTTTTTGGTGCATGTAATGGAGTACAACAGGTAGAAAAAAAAAAACAGGTTCCCTCTACCGAAATCTAAAACTGGACATTAGTTTATTCACTTACACATCTCCCATAGGTTGCAGAAGTGATAATTTACTAGTAGGTTTTAGTCAAATATTTGAATGCAAATCATTTTCAAATCTAAAATAGTAAATATTATGTATTATGCATTAAACCTTTAAAGTTTTAAACATTGACAGGTTATAATGTATTTTCCCCTTAAATGTGATGTGCACCTTGAAACAAATAGTTAGGCATCTGAAAGAAGCAAATCTGGAGTTAGCTGGTAAATAAAGGACCCCTACAGTTTTGCCATTATTTTTTGTCCCAAGAGGTTTCCATCCATCTTTTTGAGACGTACCAAGGCAAAGATTGTTAATTAAAGTCTACCAACAGACTAAAGAGAGATACTATATGCATTTTTCTTAACCAATAATCCAGGATTCAAATTGAAGATTGCATACATTTTATAAAACAATATAAAAATGGTACTGGCTACAGCTTGAAATCCTAGACCTTATGTACAAGTTCTTATTTTTCCTTCTGGACAGCTAGAAGTTAATTTTTCAGAATGATGCCCTCTAGTAACTAAGGGCTTTATTATTATTATTATTATTATTTTAAAGAAAGGTCAAGATTTTAAGATGCAGAACCATACATCTGGGAGGGAAAAAAACCCATGACACTTTTTAGCATTCAGGGAAACCTCACAGGAAACTATCAATTGTATTTTTCACCATTTTGTTGTTCTTGTTTATAACTGCCTATGATGCCAGTATAAAAATACACAAGGCCTTCACCTCTATGTTGGTCAAATAGAAACATTAGTGTCATCATTCAGCTCTTTTCTCAGAGCTATTTTTGCCCTGTAGTGTCACAAAGGATAAATACGAAAAAAACTTAGCATCTTTAAAAAACAAAACAGTTTAATCTAAAATAGGACTATAAACACTAGAAGACCTTTAACAACCGTATGGGCATTACAGCATGGAGTCATTATAAAGCAGAGCTAAGATAGCATGGGTACCTCAATTAAGAATTTCAATACCTCAACATAGTTGGATCTCTTAAGTTTAACCTTGATTGTGAACTTCCTGAGTTTAAACACGTGGTTTTGGGATGACTGCAACATTTAATGTGTTATTTAAAGTAGGAAAGCAAAAAACAGAGACTACTTGCACTATTCTGTATTATCTAGAAAAAAAATGCAGTAGTTTTAAGTTTCACTTACCATGACATTGAATTATCCTCTGGATTCCTGCAACCTGTTCCAGCGTATCTATGTTCTGAGTATAGTTGCGAAGTAGCTTTCCTTCTGTGTCCATTAAAGCTATGAATTTATGACAGAGAGATGGCTGAAACTGACCAGGATATATTTCCTGCAAAATTGAGATTTAAGTTAGGGTGTGTGAAAATATTTATCTAGCCTTTATTTAGTTCCTGTTCCAGCATGATATAGGAAGATACACAATAACTATTGCAAGCACAGAGATTCTTCTTAGAGAGCAAAATTAGTGCCAGTTAGTTAAGTAGGTATAATTGCCTACTCATGTTGTTGTAGTAAACAATATCACATTGTTTAAACTTCAGAGCTTTGACAAAATTTCATAAAGAAACTGGAGTGGAGTCTTTGGGTTGGGATAAACAGTTCTTACATCAGTAGTGGGAATGGGAAATCAGCAGTATTTCATGAAAATTAACATAAGGAAAGCAATAGCTACCTGCTGGATATTGAACATGCATATGGAGCTTTCCTGTACACAACAAAAAACAAAACAAAAAAATGCCACAAACAAACCAACCAGCAACCTGCTCTTAGTTTATATTCATTTTGAGAGGCATACAGCAAAATTATGCCCACTGGAACCTCCCTAGACACACTTATAGAAGAAAAGTTAGTGGGTAAGGATGGGGCAGAAGCAGGGAGAGATTATTTCCATAGCAAAATATTGGGTAGATTGAAGGAGGTGAAGAGGTAATGAAGAATAAAGGGGAAAAATATTACAGAGATTGTTCTGAGACATGCACGGACAAGGGTTTTGAGCAGTGAAGCAGAGGTAAGTTTTGTATGTGCTAAAGGAATAAAAGTGAGCTATTGGGTATTTAATAAAGGACATGACTAGATTAGTATTTGGCTGGGAGACTTCCAGGAAAACCAAGAGGCTGCAGGATGTGATGTTTCTTCTTCAGCCTCTGAGTGAGTACTAAATAATGCTCTAGATAGTGGTATGCACCATGTTAATGGTGCTAGGTTTCAAAGGTCCTTGCAACTCCTCTAGAAATCTCATAGCATTTCATTTTTTTTTTAAACAGTAGTTAGCATCAATGTTCCAAGGAAATTCCAAACTGGATAGAACTGTTTTGCTTCTGCATCCGAGTTTCCACATTAACTCAAATTACATACCCACCTTTTTTCCTACATCGATTTAGCATCACTGGCTTGTTCTAAAAAGCTACCACATCTCATCCAATATAGGGCAGAAATGATCCCTATATACAATTTGTATTGTTTAATTCGAGATATTTTTATGCTCGCAGAAGGAGCTACATAAAAAGTAAGAATTATGACAAGTCTGGAAAGGAATGAAGACTCCTTCATTCATACTGGATTTTATACCCCATGATTAAGTCTGATTGTATGCCATGACGTGAAGTTTTCATTGTAATAAGTATGTCAAATGTGTGTTACATTTACATGCTGCCTAAGATCCTTCAAGCTCCTTGTTCCCCTTTAGGAAGGCAACTTAACACCTACTAAGAGTTTTTGTTCTATTACTTGATAAGTAAACACCAGGTCATCTAAATAGGAAAATTTTGTCAAGGATATTACAATACCCTCCCTGAAATGAGAGCCCAAATTAGAAAGTTTGTGCTAGCATTCCTATCATCAGCTCGGCACGCTGCGCATGCGCTGATCGGCACACTGCGGCGTCATGCCGGGCTAAAATCTACTCACCACAGGCGAATAGATTGGCCTGATTGTTGAGCCCTGCCTATTATAGAAACAAAGTATTGTAAAATTAGCAACATTTTACTATTTAATTATAAATATTCCTATGAAAGCCAATCTGTAGCCAATAGTGAAATTGTTAAGAAAGTAAGAGGTTAGTTTTACAGAATTAATGAGGAATGGTCTTAGTCAGTTTCACTGTATTACTTGTGACTAAGGTTATTCCTCATTAAAATAAATTCAGTAGCTTAAGGATTTGTCCTCCTGGTTCATAAAGAAAAAGGAGAGGCAGAACTCTATTTTAGGAAACTAAATTTGTATCTGAGGCATATCTTTGCTGTCCAAAATAAAAAAAAAAAAGCAACTGAAACTTAGTACCTTTGCAAACTTAAAAAATGGTCTTGGATCCTTTCGGAAGTATTCTATATCAAACATTGCTTGAGGATCTGGAAGGTCTGGGAAGTCTACTGCAAGGCGGGCGTATATGCCATCTCTTGATCGGAAGTCAGGTATTCCACAAGAAACAGACACCTGAAATACAGGTTAAACTTTGTAGACTGAAATCAGTTGTCTATTTGGCTATAATGGCCTGCTAACATATACTGTACTTGATCACTAAACTTATGTGCCTGCTATCAGCTTTTAATATCAACAAATGAGAACAAAGGCAATTTATCAAAGTAGGGATGAGTTTAGACTTCCTTTTGACTAAGGATGTTAAATTGAGGTTAATTGACTGGAATTTCCATCTACTACTGAACTAGTCAATAAACACTTCCACATTCCTCCTTTGAAATGTACAAGAGCCCCAGCGGGCTCCCTGTGAAGCCAAGGGCCAGGGCGAAGTCCCACTGACTCCAGGCTGAATGCAGGGGCTCTTGTGCATTTCAAAGCCCCTGTACCCTTATGGAATCCGAGGTCAGCAGGGGACTAAGTCCCACGCTGACCATGGGTTCCGCTGAAATGCCGCGCAGAACCCAGGGTCAGCTGGGAAGTCCCCAGATTCCACAGCGCTGCCCCTTTGAAACACTGGCTTGGCTCAACTGTGCGGCTCTGCCACTTTGAATTACCTCTTCTTCTCCCCTTTGCTGCCTCTGATAGAGTCAACTTACTATCCGATAAGCATTTGACTTACTGGATAGCCAACTAGTCCTTAACATGCTTACTTCTGACAATGTTAAGTTTCCTGTAAGTGTGCAGGAAGAAGTATAGAGAATATTAAATTTAGCTTTGAGATCACAAAAATCTAAGGCAAATTAAATGTTAAGTACAAGCACTTCAGAAGAACATTGTTGAATATGTATTTTTAGTACTCCATTATAGATTCTGTAAATACGAGTATCTTCGAGATCTAACACAAACATGCTGAATTTAGTTTCCTAAAATTAAATTAATTTATCTCCTATAGCAGCGTAGACAAGATGATCCATTATATTAGCGCGCGCACACACACACACACACACACACACACACACACACACACACACAAAAAGCAGAGGATCAGCCTACTAAACTTTAGGCAAATAAGTATTAATTTGATGTTCAAAAGTTGCAGAACTAAGCTTGCTATGCTATTACTTTTAGAAGTATAATAAGGATTTCTCTACGACAGCCAGAATTTTCAATTTGAGGTCTTGACAACAGTTACAGAATTATAACTAAAAAAGACTAGGCAGCACTAGGACCTCTTCCTTCTCTTATGGGCACACTGGTTTGCCTCAAGTTGATTATCTTTTATTTCTTGTCACATTCCATTTTAAGAATGAAGACATAAGAATCTATCACATCTGTTCTCTCATGAGCCAGTCACATTACAACAGAAAATAAAAACAAAGCAAGAACTATGTCATGGTGCAAGTAAGTAGAAAAACCACACATTATGACTTAGAGTGCTAATGAATAATCGAACACAGTTCATAATGCTTCAGGCGAAGTTCTTAATCAGATACAACTTTCTATCAAAGAAAGCTCAATTTGACTCCCTAAGATAACAGTAGCTTTTTGCTCAATGGAAATTGTAGCAGGCCCAAAGTAATTCAACAGAAAAATCTGAGCATATGTTTCAACAAAGATGGGAACTGGAAATCGGTATTGTGGAACAGGTAACAAAGAATTAAAAAGAAAAAAAATGTATCTATTGTGTTTAGATGCTAGGCATGTTAGGATACAGTTGTCTAAGCTAGGGTACAAGAATATCAATTTCTCTAGTATACAAGTACTATAAAATTAAGTTTAGCTGATACATTAAGTTTAGGCCCTGATCCCGCAATTTATAGTGTCCAAGTGGGCTGCTGCATGTTTTAGAGCATCATTGACTTCAGTATAGCTCTGCATCAAGGCAGCATTCTGTCAGAATGCTGTAAATTGTTGGATTAGGATCTAAGTAGTCATCCACTATTTTCCCCACTAACGTATTTAAGAGACATACGTACCCCAGCTCCAGTCAAAACAATTATCTTTTTGCACTCTTGTAAAAGTTTCACAGCATCTTCAATAGTATTAATATCTTTTCGTTTTTTCCTTTTTGGTGGTTCTGAAAGGATGTTTATAACAATCTGCCACAGAGTCATATCATCCAATTCAGGTGGGGGGATTGTTTCTGGTAGCAAGTCTTTCAGAATTGCCCGGGGGTCTGTGCCTATCATGAGATGTTGTTGAACAAAAGTGTAAGGACCTATTATAGAAAAGCAAAGTTACAAAAATCATTAACATTCTGAATCAAAGAAGGTTCTTTAGAAAATTTGTTAGCTAACTGTTACTTCTTAATCTTACTAATGCTAAGTTTTCCCCATCAATAGCACTTTTCTACACAATAGATTATTAGACTCTAATATAGGGGTTAGTCCACTAAAGATAACTCACTTATAATTTCATTATCTCTAGAAATGACAGATAATTGCCAGAACAGGACTTCTGCTGACATATGATCCTTTCTTATGCTTGAAAATGGAATATATATTTAAAAACAAACAAACACACACACATTTTAGAACCTTAATTCCCAGAGTACATGTCCTTTTGGACAATGTTTTCAGGAAAGATTATATATCAGCATCTTGATTTGGAAGTGCTACTAGACAGGATTTGGCAATAAATCTAATATATTTGATGTGTTAAACTGGGTAAAGCATTGAATATATTTCATGATATTGTTAATAGCGGTGTGAGGTTTGAAAGATACCATATGAAATATTTTATCTCCTTTATAGTCAGAGAGTTAAGGAATATTTTCTATTTCCCTTTAATCATTCAAACTGATGCAGATTACTGCCCAGAACTGCAACCTTCAGAAAAGTAGTAATAGTATCAAAATAGCCTACTGGACTCTTGCAACAAGAAAATAATAAATAAAGGTCAGAAATTAAACAATAGTTAAAAGTAAAAACCAATCTTGAAAATGATACATTTATATAAACATCTACCTATACGTGGTCTGGGAGTCCAATCACTAGAGCTGGCACGTGAGGCTCTGTCATCTTCATCGCTATCACAGGAATGGAAGCCATTGGCTACTATTTCATCACTAAAAAGGATGTTATCTGCAAGATAGTACAAAAAAGGTAATTGACTCAAGTGTCTCAATTTTAAGAAGAAACATTATAAAAAAAGCTAAAATTTACTACACCATTAAGTATGACTTGCAAGAGGATTTCTTTTTTTAAATCTTGCCTTATGGAGAAGCTGAGAGATTTTAAAAAACAAGAGAACAGATATATCGGGTCAGACCAAAGCTTCATCTAGCCCAGTATCCTGCCTTCTGACAGTGGCCAATGCCAGATGTCCCAGAGGGAGTGAACAGAACAGGTAATCAAGTGATCTCTCAGCTGTCACCCATTTTCAACACTGACAAACAGGCTAGGGACACCATTCCTACCCATCCTGACTAAAAAGTATCGATGGGCCTCGCCTCCAGGAATTTATCCTGTTCCTCTTTGAGCTGTTAGAATCCTGGACATCAAAATATCTTTTCACAAGTCGTTCCACAGGTTGACTCTGTGCTGCGTGAAGAAAAACTTCCTTTTGTTTTAAATCTCCCGCCTATTAATTTAATCTGTTGACCTCCTAGTTCTTACATTATGGGAACAAGTAAATAACTTTTCTTGATTCACTTTCTTCATACCTGTCATTTTATAGGCTTCTATCATATCTGCCTTAGTCTCCTCTTTCCTAAACTGAAGTCATGATCTTTTTAATCTCTCTTCATATGGGAACCGTTCCAAACCCCTAATCATTTTTGTTGCTCTTTTCTGAACCTCTTATTTAAATCCCCCGCGGCATTTGCAATTCTGAAGTGTCTCATTAGCATCCCTTTTCCGGAAACGGGTGCCAATGTAGACACAGCCCTAGTGAATTAACTGTTACTTAACATCCTTACTGCACATTGAGTGAATGTTTTCAGAGACTCAGATCTCCAGTGGTTATAGCTAAGTTAGTCCCCATCATTTTGTATGTAGTGTATTTTTCTAGTTAAAAAATAAGGGAGGTGTGGTGGGTAAGTTCCCACTTACCTTTAAAAAAAAAAAAGCTTAGAAATATTAAGTTTGATCTTCCCTAGTTTTACCTGATATTTCAGAAGAAATATTTTGTTTGAAATTTCAGAGTGGGAATGTTGAATCTAAAAAGTTTTTTTTAAAATAAAACAGCCTCTGACGTTATAGGTGTTAATTCTCAGGCCTCAAAACACACAAATGGAATTTTGAAACACTTACTAAAAATCCCTCCCTCTCGCCTTTCCTACTTTAAATGCTCAACTCCTCCCACCCTTGAATCCTAGGATTTACATTAATTCATCCACATAGCCCTTATCTAGACTAGCATTTAAAAAAAGTGAGAATGCTTGGCAAATATGTAAGAGCAGTCCCAGGCACATAAGGCATGGTGACTTTATAAATGTAACTGGGTTGACTTTAACCTAAGAGGAACCCTAGATTTTCCAAATATTAGAAACATGGTATCCAATACACTAGCCACTATTGGCTACAGTACAGTATTTGGCTTGAACAATGTGGTATTTGGCCACTTGAACGTGGTTAGTTCGCTATAGCAGAATTGGTTGTATACCATGGTGTTAGAACCTCAGGTCTTCAGCAAAACCCAGGAAGGACAGATCTGACAGGTCTGATTATTTTTAAGTTGAAGAACAAGGAAAGAAATGTAACTCACTCCCAACTCCTCCTAAAAGAAAAAGCAAATTGTTTAATTTTCTTTATCCTATTCTGGATAAGGCCATGGTCTTCATTTTTTTATGTTAAAAAAAGCAGAACATGCAGTTGATACCCCTTTTATGGGGGTGGGGGGGAAGGAGGAGAAGGGCAGTACAAATCCTAACCCCATCTTCCTTTGCAGATTATCTTTCAAGCCCTACAGCTATTAACTAAGGAATAGAAGAACAGACTTGAGATGTTAAATTGCAGGCAAGCAGCTAATCGAGTCAATAAATGGGGAAAATGCAGAGCCACAGCAGGGTTAATTCCCCGCCAGTGAGCTAACCCCGCTGTGGCTCTGCTTTTTAAATGTATTAAGAGCCACCAGGTGGTTCTTAATACATTTAAAAAGCAGAGGCACAGCATCTGGGAACAGTCTCGAGACGGGAATCAGCTAATTCCTGGTTTGGGCCTGGTCCCTGCTATGCCTCTGCCTCTCTTGTCCCCCTATGGGGGGGGGGGGGGGGAAGAGAGAGAAGAGGAGAACTGGCTTTTAAGCCAGCTCCCTGTCAGCACTGGCTCCTGCTTTCCCTTCCCCATCCTCCCCGCCTCCCCCAATTTCTGCTTCTCTCTTAGAGGCAGTGGGGGGAGAGTGACTAGTCAAGTCACTACTTGGCTACCCAATAAGCATATGCTTATCAGATAATCAACTAGTCACTTACATCCCTAAAAGAGACATGGTATTACAAGTTAAAATTTGAAACCAATATAAAAGTATGAGTGCTATTTTGGTAATCTAGCCTCTCATGGTGTCTTGTGTGTTTGGACAGTTTCCACTCTCACCTCAAGTCTTTATAGGAAGATAGCCTGATTTATGCATAAAATAAGCAGAAGTGATAGTTTATACATTTGCAAACACAAGTTGCATGCCTTGGTATAGATTTCTTTATGTTCACCAAAAAGGGCTATGTGATATATCTCAGTGAAATTAAACCAAGTTAAGGAAATGTTTGAAGGACTAGGGTTTAGATCATTAATAGTTTGGTAGGCCCTACCCATATTTCTCATTATACTGAGAAATTTTTGCAGTAGAAGAGCCTGTTTAACTATACCACCCTCTGCACAGTCAGGTGATTCCTCAAGCAGGGCAGTTTCCAGAAAGGTTAGTATGCTTACTGAATCTTTTCAGGCAAAGCCCTCAGTATTGGGGCCAATTACAGAAGGAGCTGGCAAGACTTGCTCAGTGGATCACAACTCTCATGAAAATTATTTTCAGGAAACAAAAATTGAAAGAATACCAAATACATATAGGAAACAACCTTTTCAAAATTTCACTTACAGGATGCTATTAACATTATTAAAAAAATTTGTTTACAACATGACTTAAATTAGTCTCCTTTTAGAAGTCCAGGAAATAAAACTGAAAAAGCAGTGTGAAATTAAGAGGGTAAACTGAATTTGGGAATAATGGATGCACATGCAATACATAAAAACTATCTACAAATAAGCAGCACAGAAATCAACATAGTATCACTCAAACTTCAATCTAGCAATCTCTACATTATCATAGTAATATTTTTTTCCAGTTCCAGAAGCAGTGTAATAATTTTGTGTCTACTGAACTTATTGTACAGGCTATAAAAATTATAAGTTGAAAAATAAATTTGTCACAAATCCCATAGGAGTACAAACCAATGGCCAATTACACGATTTTTCTATATCTACAAACCGAAGTAGATGTAGCAATATGGAGCAGAAGACATGCTTCTATAATACACACGCTCAGCGAGCGCACACATACATAAATCAACGCACATCACTGAGCGCAAAGGGCATTTGACAAGCTTATGTGTGCAAAAAACGAAACTAAAAACTTAGCATCGGTGTCCCGTTAATAAGATGCTGCTGCAAAAGGATGGGGGCCCTAAGCGCGGTTGATTCCATTGCGCCTCCAAATAGGGAGATGAGCGTGACGGGTCAGCTGCCCACTGCTCAACACCTGCCCGGAGCAGATGACTCTGTGGCGGGTGGAGGAATTCGCTTGCTTCTCCCCAAACCCAGCCGGTGTAGGGAGGAAGCATCGGTGTCCCGTTAATAAGATGCTGCTGCAAAAGGATGGGGGCCCTAAGCGCGGTTGATTCCATTGCGCCTCCAAATAGGGAGATGAGCGTGACGGGTCAGCTGCCCACTGCTCAACACCTGCCCGGAGCAGATGACTCTGTGGCGGGTGGAGGAATTCGCTTGCTTCTCCCCAAACCCAGCCGGTGTAGGGAGGAGGGCAGGAGGTTAACTGCGCCTCGCCAGGCCGGGGGAAGGGAACGACCTACGCTGCCCAGCCGCGAGTGAGCGTGGCAGACGGGCC